CACAGATTTATAGTGTAAAATAATTTTCTAACAGTTCTCCTGTTTGTATTGATTCTTTGCCAAGCAGGAATTAATTGTTACGATCTGCTGAGGAGAACAGGACTGCTGCAAGGCATGAAACTGCATTACTAACTTCAGTGTCAGAACAATAGTACAACGGTCAAATGTCACTCCTGAGCTGCAGTAATACATCAGATTTGTTTTATCCGCTGGGATTTACTAGTACTGGGGTTTAAATACCAGTTGCCATCGCTGTAGCCACACAGCTCCTCTGACGAATATATGTTCTGCAGTCAAAAGAGCGACATAAATTAAGTACATTCACATGCTTCAGCACGCTCTTACCAAGAAGACCATTGCTGATTTTCACAAACTAGAAGGGAAGACAAATCAATTTCAAGGAAATTAGCTGTTAATTCAGTGCCTTAAGAAAGGGCCAGAGAGAAATTAGGGCCCAGTTAACTGGGGACTTAGTTTTGGACCATGGGGAGACCAAAAGGCCCTGTTCACAGTGGACAGAATTGCCATTGACTGTAGAAGTCTTCAATGAATGTGCTTCTAAGTTGAGTGCTGCTGTATAAGGTAAACCGAGGTACATAACTCTGGATCTGAGATGCTCCCCGCATGGGCTTGCACCTAAATTAGCTGCCAGAAAATAGCAACTCCCACTCCTTGGTTTCCTACGGATACTGATTGTATTTCTAAGCAATGAAGCTGGGCATGGTGGATGGGGATGCAACATCTCAACAGTGACCCTCCAGTATTCACCCAAACTCACAGACATCTCACCTTTTATAAACATCCAGCCCTTGAGGAAATCTTAGTTTTTTTCCAAGTAATTTTTTTTCTTTGTGTGTCAACATTTGAGTATAATGCAGAGTACCTGAACATTAATGCATATCATTCAAAGAAATTTGTTTCCATTTGTTTCTGCTTTGCTTTCATATCGTTTTAGATAAGAGTTAAACTACAAGTCTCTCTTGTGACATCTGTCACAATCTATCAAGGAAACATCAGCACATACTAGATTCAGTCTAAATTTAAGATACACTATCAAAGCCATTTAGCACATTATGAAAGAAACAAAATGCATTTTCAGTCACTGAGAGTGTCTCTTATTAGCCGTCATCATCCTGAAAAAAATCATGGAATCGTGGAGTTGCCAAGGTTGGAAGGGACCTTTCAGATCATCGAGTCCAACCATCAACCTAACACTGACAAAACTATCACTAAACCATGTCACTAAGCTCCACGTCTACATGTCTTTTTAATATCTCCAGGGATGGCAATTCCACCACTTCCCTGGGCAGCCTGTTCCAGTGTTCGATAATCTTTTTGGGGTAGAATTTTTTTGTTATATCCAATCTAAACCTCCCCTGGCACAACTTGAGGCAGTTTCCTCTTCTACTACTGCTTGTTACATGGGAGAAGAGACCAACCCCTCCCGCTACAACCTCCTTTCAAGTAGTTCTAGAGAGTGATAAGGTCTCCCCTGGAAAAGTCATGACAAGGAAATCTGTAAGGTACAAAAGCGACTACTACTAACTGAAAAAATGAATTGGACTTTATGAAAATGTCACTATTCTGGGGCTGTCCTGCAACCTTCCATGGAATAAGGTGTGAAGAACACTGGAGATATTTTTAATTCTTAATTTTGTTTGGCTGACAAGGAAAGTTAATGGAAACACGTTGTTCCGCAAAATGAAATTATAGCATGGCTTACGTATAACATACATGGTTACAGATTGTTGCACATGAGCCCAGCACTTAACTGGAAGCCAATCCTGAATTTCTGTTTTTTCCATCAATTTGCAAAGTTGTTTCTCTTAATATTCTCAGATGCAAATGCCACATTCCTTAAACTCCAAAGCATTGGACTGCAGTACCCAGTTTTACAGTTTCAAATGTTGCTAGCCAGTTTCACTGCTCTCTTGGAGAGAAATCCTGCAGGAGATGAAGTGTTCCTCTGTGTAAAAAGCAACCATCGCTGATATTTCTGTTTGAGGCATTGGTGGCCGGAGGGAAAACCCCATGCCCTTCTCAGCCAGCTGCTCAGTTGTGTTCTCACTCAAAAGAGAGAGCTGGGCGATGCTGGCCATACAGGGAGGCTTTTGTTTTACCAACACGCCTGGCTTCAGCCAAAGGTAAATCTTGAAATGTAACACTAATCTGTGACGGTAAATGAGTATGAGTGACTGCGGGCAATACTTCAGTGTGTTGTTGTTCCTCCTGTGGCATCCGCTTCCTTGTTTTCTCTGTTTTTGTGTTTCTCTGCAGCAAAACGTTCACGGGGTTTTGCCGCTTGAAGGGGGTGAGAATTATTTTTTATTATCTGCTCCGTTTGCAACATCTTTTTTGGGGGGGGTGTGTCTTCCCAGCTGCGGAACTTCCCAGTAGCCATTACGGGTGGTGTCCGAGTCACTTTGCAACTCGCTCTGAGAGCCACCAAGCCCCCCCAACTCGCGGGGACATCATCGGCCACCCCCGGCCCGCGGGGACACCGGCCACCCCCCGCCCGTGGAGACACCGGCCGCCCCCCGCCCGCCGGTCCCCGAGTCGCCCCCTTGTGGCATCCCGGGGCGTAGCGCCTCAGCCCCGGCCGGGAGCCCCGGGGGAGCGGGACGGGGCCGGAGGCTGCCGGTCCCCGAGGGAGCGTCCTTCCGTCGGCCCGCCCGGTGCCCGGCACCTTTCGCGTGTGGCGTACGGCAGCGCGGCCGACCTGCACCGCGCATTTCGCCGGGGTGGGGGCAGGGGTCACCCCGACACCGGTTTTCTCCGTAACGAGTGCCCACCCGCCCGGCTCCAGCGTTGCAGGGACAGCAGCGGGCCCTCGGTGGCCCAGGAGACGCGCAGCGCCTGCCGCCTGCTCTGCTCTGGGGCTGCGGCTGCGCTGGGTGACAGCCAGAACTATTAATTGCTACCACATATTAATTGCTGCCACATCTTATCATAGAATCATAGAATCATAGAATCATAGAATTGCCCAGGCCGGAAGGGACCTCCAAAGGTCATCTAGTCCGACCTCCCCGCAGTCAGCAGGGACACCCCCAACTACACCAGGTTGCCCAGGGCCTCATCGAGCCTCACCTTGAATGTCTCCAGGGATGGGGCCTCAACCACCTCCCTGGGCAACCTGTTCCAGTGCTCCACCACCCTCACTGTAAAGAACCCTCTCCTAATCTCCAATCTAAATCTGTTCCCCTCCAGCTTGAAGCCATTGCCCCTCGTCCTGTGACTGCAGGCCTTTCTAAACAGGCTCTCCCCAGCCTTCCTGTAGGCTCCCTTCAGGTACTGGAAGGCTGCTATTAGGTCTCCCCGGAGCCTCCTCTTCTCCAGGCTGAACAACCCCAGCTCCCTCAGCCTGTCCTCGTAGCAGAGGTGCTCCATCCCCCTGATCATCCTTGTGGCCCTCCTCTGGACCCTCTCCATCAGGTCCATGTCCTTCTTATATTGAGGGCTCCAGACCTGCACACAATACTCCAGGTGAGGTCTCACCAGAGCAAAGTGGCGGAATCACCTCTCTGGACCTGCTTCCGTGACAGCAGGTAGACGCGGACAGAGTGGGCACCCCCCTCCACCGCTGCCTGTTTGCCCAGAGGAGCCTTCCCTTTCTCTCTTTGGAGCTGTGTTTTGTGTCCAGAATTTCTTCAGACTTCACACACTTTGTGTGCGATTGCCTTCTGCGTTCGCAGGATCTTACTGCTTAAGGAACTGCAGGTGGGAACTTCTTCAGGGCATAACATAACCCCCTGCGTTTCTACCATACCTGGCACGACAGGGACCAGGTGTGAACTGTGAACCCTCACAGTGAAGAAGTCCATCAGCTGGCTACTGGATGGCAGATGTCTGAGGACATTGGCAGTTACGGAGATGTAAATGAAAAGGATGTTCCTCAGCTCGCTATAAATGTTTTTTTTAAACATTTTGCTGCTGAGTTTATCAAGCCCAAATCCACTATCCTTGTGGGTTAAATAATCACCAGCATTTTACTCTCCGTTCTTGGCAGCTGAAGCTCTAGCTACTGTCAACAACCATCAAGATCAGGGGAGGCCAGAAAAGAGCATTTAGGGATGAAACAGTCAATATTAAAGATAAATCCGTGTTGATTATAAGTGCCTGTTCAAATGGCTCATTTAGGATCTGAATGCAAAGATGTTTTGTTCTATAAGCAGCCATCAGCGTCACCCCACTGCTAGGAGAACGTGACTGCTATACAATATCTGACAGCTTTCAGATTTTTATTTACTATGGAGTTTGTCATCATTACTGCAAAACCCAAGCCCTGTGTCAGCATGTATTACGGGAAAGAGGGAAAGAGACTTCCTGCTACATCAGCCATCCTCAGCCCTCGGATCAAAACGGGATTGGGACCAGAATTCTGACTTACCTTTCGTATAGAAACTGTTTCTTTAGGAGTTTCTACTGAAATCAGTGAAGATATTGCAGGTATAAAAGAGCATTCAAAATGAATAAAAGTGCTAGGAAGACCCATAGAAATTAGTAGGTTGTGAACTCCAGGCCATTTGCCCTAGAGTTACATGAACTGATCAAAAGCAGTACCACTCTTCAGTGTTAAGCAATACTCTGCAAGGATGTATGTAGAAATGGGGAGAAACTTTTTGTTTGTTTGTTTACATAAAAATATACTTTACTGATAGTATATAGATGTATTCGTACTGAGATTTAACAAACTGAATTTCACTTTCAACTAGGTATATATCTAAACTGTGTGAATCAGCCATAATACAGTCTGTCAGAGTGTGCAAGGACATTTATTATCTACTGCTAGAGTACTCCTTTTTATCTGATGCACTGACCCACATACACACATGATGCTTTATTTAATATTTCATCTGCACAGGTCAACTGTGTCAAGTAGCTGCCAAAGAATTTCAAAACCACTTTCCTATTAAAATTACTGTAAATGTGATAATTTATAAATTCTATTTGTTCATCTTTATAAACAACATGGTGAAGACTACATGTCAAGAGATTACAACTCAACAACTATTTTCTGGCATAATCCTACATTTCAGAATTTTTAAGTAGCTTTGTACTTTATTGGAGTCTCTTCTGAAACAGTGAATAAAGTCAGAGTCACTCATCATGTCTGCTTCATTACCAATTGATAAGCCAGTGGCTTCAGATGATGCCATTCCATTTAATGAATTGCTGATCATCCCCATTGACTGCATCTGTGTTGAAAACAGGAAAAGAAGTACAACTCATAACTAGACATACAACTAATCTTCAAAATACTAGTGCAGAAGTCATCACTATGTTGGGCTGTTCAACTCCAGACCTTTCACATAGTTATTGAAGATATATGTAAAGTTCCTTACATAGAATAACATTGTCTTTTTATCTTAACAGTATCCATATAACCTTTAGGCTAACCTGAAATGATCTGGTATGTTAGTAATGCAAGAACACTGGGCTATAAATCCATCTGAGTTTAAGTAGAGGAACCCCTGTTTGGTAATTGTTATTTTCTCTTGAAGTAGGATGGCAAATTTTCTTGAAAATTTTAGCCATTTATTTTAATGAGTTTTCTAAAGGGAAGCTTCTAACATGAGCATTCATCAGTGCTGTTTAACCTGGTGAACTCTGCAGACTCTTATCACCTCTCAGGGCAGGAGCTTCACAACAGAACTAAGCTTAGAATAAGTTTCCTGAAGAAAAACACAGCTGCAAAATACCGGAATGCATTTGCATTGTTTGCTTCATTTTTTAAATTTGTATTTCTGCCTTGTGGTATGTCCATAGTACAGAGAGGTTAAACCTTTTAAGACTTCCTTCCTAGTAATTCCTTCAAAGGTATTTAGAACAATAAAATCAGGTAAATATACCAGCAGCATGTAGCTAGATTAGAGTTTGATGGCTTGCCTCAGTTACAGAATGAAGCAAACAAAGGTCAAGCTTTGAGGTTGAACACCCCGAACTTTAGAGCCATTTAACCCAGAACCATGGCTGCTCTGGGAAGATGGACTTTTTCCATTTGTAACTCTCAGAGTCATCCTAATCAGGGCTGCATCTCAGAGAAGGGTACAATTCCTCCTACTCTAGTGATGAGCTGCTTAGAATTCAAAAACTTTTATTCCCCACCAGTGTTCATAAAGCTGAAAGGTGATCTACTAGTGTAAGCTATTAGTTTATTATTCACATTTTAGTGAAACAGACACCTTGGCAGTGTAGCCATTTCAGAGAATGGACACACAGCCCTCATTTGTTTAGCCAAAACTACAAACAAGTTTAGATATGAATGCACAAGAGATATAAAGACTAGCAGGACTTCTAGCTAGTAATGAGAAAACAGAAATGGAAATAACAAAAAATTACATCCAATAATTTATATATGATCTGCCAGAATTTGAAGTGGAGTTTTGAAATTGTTTTGTGAGTGGCATCTGTCTTAAGCAATGCCACTGTTGTCTTGAAGAACTTATTGCAGCATAAAATTGTTGCCTTAGGAAGGAGCTCTTCCCAGCAGACAGCAGTGATACTTGAATTACTTAGGATGTAAATCCAAATAAAACTGAAAGCAATAATTAAGTATTTGTTATGGTCTACCCACATCTCCCCTGCTGCCCTAGAAAAGTCATTACTGGCTCATATATGAAGCTGTAAATGGCTTTAGTCTTTGCACTTGTATCTTTCATATATTTCATATTAATAAAATATTGCTCTACACATCTAGACATATCTAATGTCATCTGCGTATATGCCAATCTATAAGCTAAGTCACATCCTTTGGCTGAAAAATTCCTGCATCTGTAACAAAGTCCTGCATTGCTGGATCAGAGCCTCTGTTGGCACCACGGCTACAGCCCAAGTGAGAGCAGACATTGCCCACCCACCCCCACCCCTGAAGTCACTCATGCCACGTGACTGGTGTAAAGAAAAGCTACGTTGAAAATCTTGCCTTTTCTGTTACTTTCTCAACTCCAGTTGAGAGCTCGTGTACCATATTGCTGATTTGCTTAGCTTTGCTAAGGCTGTCATCAGGGAGCTCTTGATGGTGCTGGTTAAAGTGAGACAGTGGCTCTTTCCAGGCTTGCAAAAGTTTCAGTATCAAGTGAGTTAATTCTTCTCTCTTATAAATTAAAAGAGTAAAGAATTCCTCTGTTAGTTTGCAGCAGGTCATATGAACCCTGATACAGTCTCACAGGGAAATCTCAGCAGGATTAGGTTTTACAACCGCAATTCAGTAGTTTTCAAATATCCAGAACTTAAGGGTCTGTCTCCAGTTATTTGCTTAGATATAAGTGACACCCAAAAGTTGTTTTTGTCTTATTTCCAAGTTTCTTAGACTCCTAAGCTTTGCAATCCCTCAAGCTGTGGAGTGCAGCATGAGTGAAATTGTGGCACTCCTGTCAAAATGACTTGGTACTGGAAAAGTTTCCCAGAACTCCTAGATGTCTCAAGAGCCCAGGGAGCCCCATCTAGACATCTCTGTTTGCTGGTGCGGAAGCGCAGGTGTTTCCTCACACCTTCCATGGTTTTAGCTGTATTGGTTAGAGGTCTGTGGCAGACAAACCTCCCAGAAGGTGCCTGGTGGTCAGGACTGTTGCTTCTTTTACAGAAGCTCATTGGCCGTAAGACTTCTCTTGCAATATAAGTTCAGAAATAAGGTTGATGGGTTAAAGCTTCCTAAAGCAGGCAAGGCTTCATTTCCCATTGCCCTTCCAGAGGAACTTCTAAATGTCTTGGGGGAAGCTCCTTGCTCCATCACAACCAAAGAGCAAAACGTTAACATTTGTCTCCCCCTGCCTCCTCCTAGAGGCAAAAGTTTCTCCCACTGCTGTATCCTCAACTTTACAATCCTTTTCCTCTGTCTAAAGAAACTCTTCCTGCCCTCCTCTAAACTAATAACGATTTTTTTCCTCTTTGCCATTGCAACTGTCTAAAACAATTTGCTGTTCTTTTCCCCTTACCTAACTACCGATTCAGAGATAATGACTGTTATTTCTTTCCTCTGATTGCTTTTTGTACTTTGCAGTGACACTGATTAATTTAACTTACCTGTCACATGAGCAGTTCCCTAAGTTTCTCTTCTACAGAGACTGCCACAACAAAATCAAAGGGATGTCTGTCCATCAGTCATTCGGGCAAAGTACTACTGCAATACTTCTATTATAACTAATAAATAGGATTTAAGCATATGGAACCATATACAGCTCTTTTAACAGAATGAACTAATGATTCATATGCAAAACCTCTGTCATGTGCACCTGTTTGGGGTCAAAACTTACCAGCTTCTTCCATCCAAACTGTTGATGAAGCACCGGAGGCATAAAAACCTCCCTGCCCACCTCCAGCCCGACCTGGGTGGGGGACCACCGCGGCGTGATGGGTGAGATATTCGGGGGCTCTGAGGGGACGGGGGATATTTCCCCCTTCCTTCAGGGAGGGTAGAAGGAGGCGGTGCGACCCGCGGAGCCCCCTCCCAAGCCCCTAACCCCGCGGGAGTCTGCGGTGCCCCCCGCCCGCCCCGCCTCCGCTCGCCGCCGCAGCTCAGCCTTACCGGGATTTTTTGGGCGTATTCTTTGCCGTTGGGGGTCAGCATCCCCGACGTGTGGCACTTCCGAGCGGGCTTCCCCAGCTCGTTGTCACGGGGGGGGAAATGTTTTTCCTAAAGGGGAAGAAAACCTAAAGAAACACCCACAGCAGCCCCCCGACAGCGCCGGTGGCCGCTCCCGGGGGGGGGGCGGGAGCCCGCTCCGCGGCGGCGGGGCCGTCCCAGCACTCACCAGCTCGGCGTAGAGCGCCGTGGAGAGGCTGTGGATCCTGCCCGAGTGCCGGATCACCCGGTCGAAGAGATCGGCCACGGTGAGGAGGCGGCAGCCGGCTTCCCCCGGGGCGCACACCAGCAGCCACAGCAGCGCCAGCGCCGCGGCCGCACCTGCGGAGAGACCGGCGGCGTCGGGGGGCGTCGGGGGGACTGGCCGGCGCTCCCCTCCCCGCTCCGCTTCACTCCCCCCCCCGGCTCGCCCGCCGCCCTCACCTGCTCGCCCCGCCGCCCGGGCCATGGCCG